CCCACCCTCGAAGACCTCAAGCGCCGCACCATCAAGTTCATCAGCGAAGAGGACAACACCACGCGCATCGTCAACGTCAGCGACTGCCGCGACGCCTACGACGTCATGGCACGCGTCCTCAAAAAGTTTGGCAAACCCCCCAGCGCCAACAGCTACACTCCCACCGCCGATCAGGGCCCCACCGGCGACGAGCTCGGCGCAACAGAGACCTGGGGCATCTTTGCCACCAGCGCAGACGGTCAAAACACAAAGGCGCTCTCGGACAACGAGCTGCTCGCCATCTGCCACGCGCCACAGCCACACGATCCGCTGCGCGAACGTGGCCTCACCCTCCGCAGGATCCCCAACCATCTGCCCGGTGAGGACGCCCGCAGAGTCCCCGCGCGATCCGGCCGAAACAAGCTAGAGGCCTTCTTTGGCGAACGCATGCCCGTAGCACAGATGCAGCCTGCCGGCCCGGGCTCGGCCGCACAGACGGACGAAGGCGACGCCGGCAGCGTCACCATCAGCGGCAAAAAGATGAAGCGCGCCTCCACCGTCAGCATCATGTCCGGTCTTGGCGTCGGTCCGTTCAGCAACAGCAGCAGCAGCGCCAGCGCCTCCACTCACACCGCCACCAACGCCAAGATCGACACAAAGCAGCCCTCCAAGAAGGACACCAAGCATGCCACCTCGCCCACCGTCAGCAGCAAACCCAGCAAGATCCGCAACTTCTTTGGCCAGCGCCCGCCTTCCGAGCTCATCAACACCAACCTCGCCGACTTCTTCCCCTCCACCGACTCCAGGGCCCTCCAGCGTACTGCGCGCCGCTCAATCTATGGCCGCGCGTCGGCGAGCACGCGCTCCAAACGCAACAGCACCTGGAGCTTTGTTGCCGATCCGGATGCGCCGCCGCTGCCCAACAAGGAGTCGCTCGACGGCCACCAGTCCAGCAACACGCCGCTCGACCGCTCATCCGCATCCATCCGCGAGCGCACGTACGACCGCGGCACCAATCCCATCATCCAGATCGGCTACGACTCGCGCTCCGAAGACGGTCACTCGCACGATGCGCATCAACGAGGCTCTGCTCAGCATCAGTACGGTGTTGCCGGCCCGCCCACACTGCCGCCCGTCGTGGGTCGCGACTCGCTCGACGAGTGGTCGCGCGACCTCAAGGCCGTCGGCTCGCCCGTCGCTGGATACACCCCGGGCTTCGCCGGCGCCAAGTCTGGCCATCTGCACCATACGCCCATGCAGCCTTCGTCGTCGCAGAACAGCGCCTACACCAGCCGGCCGCCCATGTCGCGACGCGCCTCGGGCGAGAGCGCGCGCAGCCGTCGCAGTCTCGCCTCGCAGGTGCGCCACGGTCTCAGTGCGGCGCGTGAGCGCAACCCAGACACGGCCAGCCTGCTCACCGTCGATGAGATCACCCAAGAGGTCGAGAACCGCAGAGAGAGCTTCTCGCTCGCCGGTGCAGGCGGCGGTTGGGTCGTCGACGAGGACGGCGTGCCCATCCCCATCCCGGGTGCTGCTTCGGCACGCTCGTCGTCCGCCGCCGCCTCCACACGTCCGTCGAGCGGCATCTCGTCCGCCTACGCCCACGGCAGTCATGCCGGCCACGATGACCACGAAAACGACGAGGAGGCCANCCTCCACACGTCCGTCGAGCGGCATCTCGTCCGCCTACGCCCACGGCAGTCATGCCGGCCACGATGACCACGAAAACGACGAGGAGGCCAACGAGTCGTCGGACCTCGAGGGCGCGCCGCGCGCACCAAAGCCGCGTGGCGCAGCCTCCAAGGCGGCTTCGATCCATACGGTGGCGAGCCACTCGGCGGACCGTGCTGCCTCGGTGCTGCACGCGCCCGGCGACGAGTCGGATCGCCACCTGGGCGATCCGATGGCCGTGACGCGCAATGCGACGTCGCGCGCCAGCTCCATCTCGGAGCTGCGCCGCTCGATCGACGAGCACGCCGACTACAGTGACGGCGGCTCCAGCTCGGTGTACACCGACTCGGACGTCGACTCGGACCGCGACTCGGACACGGACGACGATGACGAGCCGGATGTCTATTTGCCGTCAGCCAACAAGCCGCCCATCAAGTGGCACAAGGGTGCGCTCATCGGCGCCGGCTCCTTTGGCAACGTCTTCCTCGGCATGAACGCCAAGACGGGCCTGCTGATGGCGGTCAAGCAGGTGGAGCTGCCGTCGGGCGACTCGCACCTGGACCAGCGCAAAAAGGGCATGCTCGACGCGCTCGAGAGTGAGATCAAGCTGCTCAAGACGCTCGAGCACGAGAACATCGTGCAGTACCTCGACTCGTTTGCCGACGGCAGCCATCTCAATATTTTCCTCGAGTACGTGCCCGGCGGCAGCATCGTGGCGCTGCTGCGCAACTATGGCGCGTTCGAGGAGCCGCTGGTGCGCAACTTTGTGCGTCAGATCCTCAAGGGTCTCTCGTTCCTGCACGACCGCGGCATCATGCACCGCGACATCAAGGGCGCCAACATCCTCGTCGACAACAAGGGCGGCATCAAGATCTCGGACTTTGGCATCTCGAAAAAGGTCGAGTCGGAGCTGGTCTTGGCGACCAACAAAGCTGCGGGTGCGGGCGGGGGTGGTGGGGCGCCGAGGCCGAGTCTGCAGGGCAGTGTGTTTTGGATGGCCCCCGAGGTGGTCAAGCAGACGAGCTATACGATCAAGGCGGACATTTGGTCGTTGGGATGTCTGGTGGTCGAGATGATCTCGGGCACGCATCCGTGGGCGGAACTCAACCAGATGCAGGCGCTCTTCCAGATCGGCATGGGGCGCAAACCGAGCTTGCCGGACGAGATCAGCAACGAGTGCCGCGACTTTTTGGAAAAGACGTTTGAGCTCGACTACAATGCGCGGCCGTCGGCGGAGGAGTTGTTGGAGCATGCGTTTATGGGGACGCAGATGACCTTCCCGGCGACCGCGGCGGGGGCGGTGGGAGGCGATGCAGCTGGTGGGGGAGAGGCAGGTGGAGATGCGGGAGAGGGTGCGGTGGGTGGCGATGGTGCAGTGGGAGAGGAGGGCGAGACTAGCATCAGCACGAGCACGAGGGAGAAGGAGAAGAGGCCCACGCGGTCCAAGTCTACACGCCGGCTCGAGAGGGAGAAGCGGCAGAAGGAGGCGGCGGCGGCGGTGCCGGCGGTGGCAGCGGTGGATTCAGGAACGCCCAACACGCCCACAGCTGCCACGGCGGGCGTCGCTGCGAATGCGGCGGGTGCAGACGCCGAGGCCGGATCAGCTCAGGGTGGCATGCCGGAGAGCGTGTCGACGTCGTCGATCGCAACCGCGCGCGGCGTGCCCACGTCATTGACGACGGATGCGCACGCGGGCAAGGATGACGCGTAGAGTTCACTGGCGCAGCAATGCCATCCATCGCCTCAATCGTAGCCCTGAGTGTGTCCGAGTCGAGATAGCCCGCGAAATGTAGCAAGCCATGCTAGGTGGTCAAGTTGTGCGGGTTTGACGTGCGTCTGGTCATCAGCCAGCAACTGTCGGCTCAATTTGAGTTGCTGCCCGTCAGGTGGGCCTCAAGACGGATGACAACATGGTCGGCACCTACTGCAACCACTAGGGCAACATTCCCGCTGGCGACTATGCTTGCTTCCGTCTCAACGGCGATATCCGTACGCGCTTGCAGACCGCCAACGACTCGACCAAGGGCTTTGTAAACAATGCTGGAAGCAGTGAGCACCCCGTCCCGCGCCCCCCAAATAGCGAAAGGTACGGAGATTGATGCTTGTGCTTTTCCGGGCTAGTGTTTGTGGTGGTGTTGAACCGCGCCACGCAGGTGGTCGAGTTGCACACGGATAAGACGGGCGTGTGGGTCTCCCATCCCGATGGCAGTCGTGAGTGGGGTTTTCTACGCTCAATGACGCCGACTGGAACGGCGACCACAACGCCTGCAACACCGATCCTGCCATCTGGCTCGCCGATTGAGTGCACGCAGTCACTCCTCCGCGGACGCAGTGCTCATATCCACATTGCCCATCTCGGCCTCGTCGTGCGTTGAATAGTAGATCAAGGTGCCCAAGACTGATTCGTTGTGCTTGGGCAGTATTGGTGCTCGTGTACCAGCCTGACGGTGGAATTTGGCAGTTGCAGACGTACACATCTCGCAGTCCGAGACATCCAACTGTCTCTACGTCAGCTCGCGGCAGCCTCGGCAGGTGACGAGAATGGGCAGAGCGACCACCAGTACGCCTGCAACGGCCATGGGCCCATCGCGCTCGCCGATTGAGTCGCAAAGGGCACTTGACCCCCCACGCGTCATGAGGCACTCTTTGCTCGCTTCTGCGGTGTTGAAACCCTCGATTGTGCGCTCGAGATTCGATTTGCTGCTTCTGTCTTCCATTGTGCACTGAGACCGTTCGAGAGATTGAGGATGAGAGCCACCGCGCCAGGGATCGACCACTGCTCATCTAAGGACACTCTGCTCACGCTCGCAATCGTCGTGCTGCTGCGTACGATATTTTATATTGATGTCAGGACGACGCCCGAGCGTACGAGTGGCTCATGGTATTGGGGCCGGGATGTGTACTCACAATCCGAGCCGAGCGAACGAGTCGTGCATATGCAAGAGCATTCTGAAGCAGTCTTGCCCTCGGAAGCTCACGAAGCTACACGTTTTCACGGCGCACAAACGGTGTTGACCGAGCATGGTTGCGCATTGCATACGAGGCAGCACATGAGCTTAGGGTCATCGCGCAACGTCAGCTTCAAGAGTGAAGATCGACGCGCGCAGTGCGTTGGTGGACTAGTAGACCCAGATGGGAGGGCTGTAGGAACAGCCCTGGTACTCCCTGCTGTCTCCGCCGCTGTCAAGCGTGCTGACCTCCAGACACGGGTTGCTGTTGCTAATGACAACGTCCATCCTTCCGGTGCTGAACGCCTCGGTCGGGCCATCGAACATCACCACAAACCCTACACTCGCTCTTCTGTCAGCACATACAACCCAAAGCGCGACTGTATTGAGGCTTTTCGACTTACTTGTTCCGGCCGAATTGACGTATCCATGCATCGAGGCATCGGTCGAGGTCATGCCGTCTCGAATATTGCCATTGTACTGGAAGCATACGAAGCGACCCTGCGGAGGATTGTTGCGGTTGCAGTAGCGGCCGACCTGGTTGTCGTCCGTCGCGAATCTGCCCATAGCATTGCCAGCCACGACGCTGGAAATGAGAGGCGCAACGAAGAAGATGCAAAGCGTCTTGAAGAACATGTTGAAAGAAAGGTGTGCGGATGATTGTCGGCAGAAAGGCGGATCGGATGGACGCGCATTTATGTCGATGCCGACGACGTGAGCCTGCTCGAAAGCGCGCCGTGCTCAAGCTCGAATCGCTTTGACGTTGGCGTTTTGCTCAGTGGTGGGGCAGAGCGGCAGTATCGCTCCAGCTGGCATTGTGGAGTGTAAAACAGCTCTACGGACTCGGCTGTCTGAAGCCGGCCCCACAGTATCATAAAGCCCCACAGTATCATACAGCAGCTCCCGGAGCGCAAACACATCTCCAGGGCAAATGATCAGGAAGGCTTCGGACCGCAGACCCACCCGGAACTCCCATGCCGAGTTGATAACTTCATACGCGGGTGTTGTACAGCGCCTCTGGCCGTGTGTGAGAACGAGACTTGGACGGCAAAGCGCCTCTTGTGGTTGCGTGAGAACGGGCTCATACGTCACCGCGCTTTACACCGTGTGAGAAAGACCTCTGACGCCACCAGGATTTGCACCGCGCGGGAGCAAGGGCCGCGACGCCAAGGCGACCCTCAATGTGTGTGAGTACGAACTTGGATGTGAAAGCGCCTCTCGCCGTGTGTATGTGTGGGAAAGAGCTCAAATCGCTCTTTCCGGCCAGATTGAGCGGACCATCAGATGGCGTATTGCATCGACCGCGTGGGCGGTACTGTACAAGCAAAGTCCCGCATATGAAAGCATGGTGCAGTGCAACGACAATTCAAGCGCATGTACTTTGTACAGCCACGTGCTGCATTGCGTTGCTATCTGGTCTCGATCCAGGTCAATCAAGCAGGGCACAAGTGTGCAAAGTCTTTGTTGCGCCTCGAGCGGACGATCTCACGACGCAATCGCTCGGACTTCACCGACGAGAGTCACTACGCTGAGCCGCTTCTTTCCATCTTCACACGCCGCCGCCGCCACCGTGCGAAACTGCCGCTGACCGCGCTCCTTGTCGCCTCGCATGCGTTCCTCAACTGCGATCCACGTTCGGATCCATCGTTTGGGGTATGACTAGTGGAGATATGTGTGGGGGGGCTACTGTACACGGTTCCTCGACTTTGCACGTTCACGAAGCTGCCGGATGAGATCCTCGCCCACAGCGCGCGACGCCGTCTGCACCGGAGCCGACCTGACCGACTCTGCCTCCTCCTCCTCTCTGCCCGTCTTGGCTGCTCTTGATACTGATCCGCTTCGACCGCGCGCGTCGTCGTACTTGGCCGAGCGCTTGGGCCGGGTGAGTGGATGCTGGGTAGCAAATGCGAGTGTCGCATCGAGCTTTGCGGCGACGGTAGGGGGGTCGTGGGGTGGCGAGACGGACGAGCTGGACGAGTGCAGCGCGAGCGAAAAGCGGCTACGCTCGCTCGCGCTTGTCGCCGTCAACGTAGCTGGAGGCGCCAACTCTCTTCGAGCCGATGCTTCTCGCGACGGCGAATCTCCACCGTCCGAACGCGGAAGGGAGGAGCTTCGTCCGGTGTGTGCACTTCCCCTCGAGGGCAGCAGCGCGAGGCTAGTCCTGGGCCGCTGCCTCGGCGTCGACGTGGACACAAGCCCTGTGAGTGGCGATGAAGATCGCTGCATCGGTGACGACGACCCCCCGGACCTGTTTGCTGCTGCCGCTGCTGAAAGCGTACGCAGCCTTTCAGCAGTGATACTTCCCGCGCCAAACCGTGCCGCAGCTCGCAGCTGCCGTCTGCGCTTCACTTGGTCTCTCCACCTCGTCCACACCATCTCCACCGTCCTTCGTCTGGCGATCCTATCTGCGTCGTTCCGCATCTGCGCTTCGGGCAGCTTGGCTCGCCAGTGCTGCACGGCGGTGCGCTTGAGCGACGTATTGCGCATCCGGATCGCGGGTAGCATGCTGGTGTGCGACTTCCACGAACGCAGTGCCCATTGCAACGAGAGCTGCTGTCGCCGCATGAGCATCTCGTACTCGTTCGTCGCTAGAGCCCGTTCCCGCATCCTGTCCCGCCACAACGCTACAATGTTCGCCAGTCGACGTGTGCGTACCGACGCGGTCAGGAGCTCCTCCTTTTCGCGGCGCTCCTTCTGCGCCCGAGCCGATGCGAGCCACAGTGCAAACGTGCGCTTCTTGCGTTCCTCCTGCTTGACGTCGATGTAGCTGTTCATGAGCGCCAGTAGGTCATCGTGTCGCAAACACGCATCGATCCACGCATAGAAGGCCGTCTTGACCAGCCGTCTGTCGCGCTCCTCTTTGACTTCCAGCTGTCTGTTGCGCACCTCGATGATGCGGTCAACCCAGTGCCCGAGATACGACCGCGCCAGCGCCCTGCTGCTCTTGGCGAGGGAGCGCTGCAGCAGCGAGTGCAGGCGTTGCTGCTTGGCTGCCCGGGTGCGCCAGATCTCGAACGTTTGCTGCAACAGCCGCCGATCATGCGAGGCCGCCTTCTTCTCTGCGCGCTGCTCGCGTAGCTGAGCACGCCATTGGTGGAACCCAGATCGGAGGACGAAATAGTCCGACACAGCGGCGGCCTTCTCGGCGCGCAGGCGGAGTTGCAGATGGTTGCTCCTCCAAGCGACAAAGGCGTCGCTGCAGATGCTCTCGTTTCTGCGCGCCACGGCAAGCTCTTGTCGTGCTTGGATGTGCTGCGCAAGATGCTTCCAGCGCTGAAAGACCATCGACAGGCTACGCCGTTGGCGTTTGCATGCGAGTGTGGACTCGCGCTGCTGCAAACTTTCGACAAGAGCATGGTGGCGGTGCTTCCAGTGGTGGAAAGCGCTTTGCAGGCTTTCAGCGGCTTGTGCACGGTCGAATAAGGCTGCGCGCGCATGCAGCTGCCAGCGCCGAAAGACGTTGCCGACTGTCTCCCACCGGCGGTCACCGTGGATCTCGGCGGCGGTTCGCTGCATGTTGGCAACGGTTTGGAGTCGCTGGCGCCAGGTTGTGAGCGCGCTTTGTTTGACCCTGCGCAAATGCCATCGCGCTGCAAGCGCTTCCTGCTTTCCATGGACGCGCCGCTGGTCGAGCGCCATCTTCCACGAGTCAAGCGCGGCAAGCTTGAGGCGGCGTTCCGTGAATGCCTCGGCGAGCCTCGAGAGCATGGCCTTCCGTCTCCAGTCGTGAAAAGTGTCCAAGAGCAAGATGCGATTGTGATGGTGCTGAAAGTCGCCGACGGCACTTGCTGTCTCGGCTCGCTCGGTCCACACACTCCACGCGTGCGCAAGCGTAGCTCGATTGTGCTTTGCCTTGGCTGCGCGTTCGCGAGTGCGAAGCTGCTGTGCATGTAGCGATCGCATCTGCCAGAGGGCAAAAGCGCCTGCCTGGAGATGACGTCTTCGGACACGGGTTGCGACGCTTTCGGGACGACGCTCGCGCCAGGTCTGCAGCGCTTGTGTCAAGAGACGCCTGCGGACGGCCGCGGTGGTGGTGTAATAGGCGGAGCGCATGGACTCCTTCCTGAGCTCCTGCTTGCGCTCTGCGGCGATGTGTGTGGTGCGCTTCCAGCGGCGGAATGCGGTGAGAGTGCAGCGAACACGGTCGGTTCTTTCACCGATGCGCCGTCCTTCTAGATCCTGGTGAGTCTGAGCGCGCCAACGCTCCCACGCTTTGGTGAGGCGGACGCGAGCAGCGGCTGCAGCCGCATTCTGGCACTTTTCGGCCTGCTGCTGAGCAAGAGCGGCCCACCATGCCAAGGACACTTGAAGAAGGCGGCGTTGGCGGAAGAGGTCGGCGAGATGCTCGTCTTGCGTCTGCCTTTCGTCTTGCTCTCGCTGCCGTTTTGCGAATTGCGAGTTTCGCAGTTGAGCCCGCTCGAGCTGAGAGGAGCGGACGAGCTCATCGAAGCGCCGCTTGGTGTCGTTGGGGAGGCGAGGTGTCGTATGCGTGGTGGTTTCGCTCGAGGGAGGAGGACGTGGCAAGCTGTGATTGGAAGTGTCGACGAGGTCGCTGCGGTGCAGCTTTTCGTCGGGATCGAGTAGAGTGCTGAGACGAGCTTGGATGGCCGAGATGGAGTCGTCGAGCGAGGGTTGCGCGCGCTGTGCGTGATCGTCTCTGTAGCGGGGGGCGCCGCGATGTGACCGAAGTTGGGCTTCTGCTCTTGAGGCCAATGGTGGAGGCGACGGGCTTCTTGAGTATAGTGAGCTGTGGCCTCGGATCCCAAAGTCAGCTGTAGCCCTTTGCTGGCGGGGACTTATTTGCTCGAGGGAGTTGCCTCTGCCTGGCGCGCTGCGCTGAGAGGCGCGTTCGAGAAGGCGCCGGTTGGGCTCGGGGGGAGGTTCGAGATGATCGTGTGCCGAGGAGCTGGATGCGCTGGCTTGCGTGCTCTGCGTTGAGGCGCTCTGATCGGTCTCATCGCCGCTGTGTGGATCGAGGCCGAACGCGAGACGAACCGAGTCCCAACGCTCTCGCCAGTTTGAGCCACGTACTTTGACGAGGCTGAGGAGGATGGACCAGAGGTGAGTGTCCCAATCGGTATCGGTGGCGGCGTCACGGGAACGGTGGGACCTGTGCTCCAATTCGGCTGGCAAGAGGTGAGTATAGGCAGTCTTGAGCTGCGAAAAGTCGGCAGCTTGGGGCGGGAGGGTGGAGATGAGACGGTCAAAGAAGTGGATGTCATCTTCGGTCAAAGCCTTGAAAGCCTGGTTGATGGAGAAGCGAGAGGAAGTGGAGGGGGGTGTGGTGGAGGTAGAGAGTGTGGTGCGAGACGTGCTGGCGACGGAGGCGGCGGTATGGGTGGTGGAGGAGAGAGACGCCTGCAGAGGCGACTGGGAGAGCGGCGAGGGGTAGTAGGGCCGATGGGTGGATTCGCGCGCATGAGCTTGGTGCACGTTGCGACGCAGCTCGTCCAAGCCAGATGACGAGGGGCGGGGACGAGAGAAAACGGGGCGACCTCGGTCATCTGCGTCTGCCGTGGCCGTTGTGTGAGTCGAGCGATACGAGTCCATGCTTGCTGTTGGACAAGCACTGGGTCGATGGGCATATGTGCTCAAGGACGAGCTCTAGGTGGTTGCTTCGATGCTGTTAAGAGGATTGCGTGCATTGCGCTAGCTTTGAGCTGAAGAGCATGAGCGGGGAGTGATTCGGGAGATGTTGCACAGACCTGTGGATGCGAGCGCCTTGAGCGAAAGAAAGCTCCGTGCGAGGGTGGCGTGCGGCGGACTGCTGAGGCCAAAGCTGGCGAACCAGCGTAGGCGAGCGTCGAGGCGAGCGTCGAGGCGAGGTGTGGGAGCAGAGGCAAGATGGGCGAGCTTACCGTTGCCGCTCGGAGTCGGTTTGAGCTCGCTTTAAGGTTGATCGAGGGTTGATTGAGCGAGGAAAGTGTGGCGGTCGAGGAGCACCGCATTCAGTCTGGCTCTCTTTCCTGTGATGGCCGGAAACCGAGCCGAGCGCGAAAGAGAGAGAGAGAGAGCAACACTTTAGCTCGGCCACCTTTCCGGGGCGTGGTGGAGGAAAGGAACACTCAGGGTCCGCTCCGCTGCTGCCCTCCAGGCCCTCCAGCAGAGCTCGGAAATTGCCAGAGAGTCGCGTCGCGTGCCCACCGAAAAAGCCATATCGGCAGCCCGATGGCGATCTCATCGTCCTGCAAGACCCTGACTTCAAGCGCGCCTCGGAAATCGGTCGGCTTGGGTGGATCTTTTTTTTGAAAAATGCACGGCTGCACGAAGAAGCGATGGCGAGGGCAAAGGGGCGAAAACGACACAACGTGTTGCCGCTCTCGCAGACGCGCCGAGGCCACGCTCTCTCTCGCCTTGGCCCGCGGCAGGAAGAAGTTCAGCCCATTTTTTTTTCTCGCAAAATTTCCTGTCGCTTCAAAAAACTTTCTTGCGCTGAATCGCCAGCCTGAGCCTCAGCGCCAGGCACGCCCGCCTGATGGACCCACGAACGGACGGACGGACGGACGGACGGACGGACATGCACGTTGTCAGGGCCCAGCGGCAGCCCCCCTTTGAGGCCTTTGAGGGCGTGTGGAATGCCTCTGCGCCTGTTGGTCGGTGGGTCGAGAGTGGGATTTCGATTCGGACGGGCCACAGCTTGCTTGTGCCTAGACGCCAAGACGCACCTCGCACTTCTTCCTTCTCGTCCTCCATCCCGGCCTGTGTGTCTTCAAGCAGCGTCGATACACCACCACCACTCCATTCCCCTCAGACGGCTTGCTGCCTCCCTTTTCGCGGCCCTAGTTTCCGTTTCGTCTTTACGCTTGTCTCGCCTCGTCGATCCACCACCACTCTGACTTCTGCTCGATCACTAGGCAACGCGCATTCTCACAAGGCAAAACTTCACTTACGAACGATACCCGCCTTCCAGACTCTTTCGGTTGCATAAAACCATACATCATGTCTAGCGCATCTCAGGCCCTCGAGGGCCTCTACAAGGCCCCCTCCGCCGAGGAGTGCTACGTCGCTGCCGAGCAGCTCGCCGAATACGTCAACAGCACCAGCCTCCGCGTCCTCCAGTCCGAAGGCGTCCTCGACAGCCTCGTCAAGGCCTCCAAAAACAAGAAGAGCGGCTACGAGCGCGAGGCTGCCGCCATCGGCCTCGACGCCATCTTTGTCAAGGTCGCCGGCAAGAACGCTCCCAGCCCGCTCGGCGCAGAGCCATGGCTCCTCGACACCCTCCCCGCCATCCTCGAGCTCTACGCAGACAAGGGTGACGTCGTCCGCCAGGCTGCAGAGACTGCCGCCAGCTCGCTCCTCGCACTCGTACCCCCCGAGGCGGCACCCGAATTCCTCACCGTCCTCTACGAGGTCCTCGGCTCCGGCAGCGCAAAGTGGCAGGCCAAAGTCGGCGCTCTCAAGCTCATCGGTCGCCTCAGCGCCACTGCCAGCGAGCAGATCGGCGACGAACTCGTCGAGCTCATCCCCTACCTCACCAGGGCCATGCACGAGACCAAGGCAGAGATCTCCAAGCAGGCCCGCAAGACCGCCATCAAGGTCTGCGAGGCGTGCCTCGACAACAAGGACATCCGTCCCTTCATCCCCGACCTCGTCGGCTGCATGGCCCAGCCCGATGCCGTGCCCGAGTGCATCAAGAAGCTCTCCGGCACCACCTTTGTCGCCGAGGTCACCGGCCCGGCGCTCGCCGTCATGGTGCCTCTGCTCGCCCGTGCGCTCAACGAGCGTAGCCAGAACGTACAGCGTCAGGCCGTCGTCGTCGTCGACAACCTCTGCAAGCTCGTGCGCGACCCGCACGAGGCCGCCAAGTTCCTCCCCGAACTCACTCCCGGTGTCGAGCGAATCGAGAAGGGCGCCAGTTTCCCCGAGGTCCGCGAGCACGCCAAGAGCGCCCTCGACACCCTCACGGCCGCCACCGCCGCCGTCGACGCTAGCGCTGCCACCGAGGACCCCAAGAAGGTCTTTGCTCAGCAGTGCGCAGCCGCCCTCGACGCCATCCTCGCCGCTGTACAGGCTTACGTCCCCGAGGAGCACGCCAACCTCAAGAGCGATGCCTTCGCCATGACCGGTCTCAACTACCTCTCCAAGTCCGTCGCTCGCCTCGCCAACAAGCGCATCCTTCACACCAGCGCTTGGGAGGAGGTGTACGTGCTTCCCTACCTGCGTCGCGTCTGCAAGGACGACGACGCCGCCAAGACTGCCACTGCCGACCTGCGCAAGACCTACATCGAGCTCGACAAGGCGCGCTTCGGCAACTCCGAAGAGGAGGACGACGACGAGGCGGGCGAGTGCCTCTGCCGCACCGAGTTCTCGCTCGCCTACGGCGGTCTGCTGCTGCTCAACCACACCACCCTCAAGCTCTACCGCGGCCATCGCTACGGCATCGTAGCCGCCAACGGAAGCGGCAAATCCACGCTGCTCAAGGCCATGCGCGACGGCAAGGTCGAGGGATACCCGTCCCAGGACGAGGTGCGCACCCTCATGGTGGAGCACAGCCTGCAGGGCGAGGACGGCTCGACGCCCATCATCGACTTTATCGCCAACGACAAGAAGCTCGTGGGCAAGACGCGCGAGCAGGTGGCCGAGAAGCTGCGCGAGGTCGGCTTCGATGACGAGAAGCAGAAGAACCCCGTCTCCTCGCTCTCCGGTGGTTGGAAGATGAAGCTCGAGCTGGCGCGTGCCATGCTTTCCGACGCCGTCGTCTACCTGCTCGACGAGCCGACCAACCACTTGGACGTGCAGTCGATCGCATGGCTCGAGAACTTCCTCGTGACCAACAAGCAGATCACCGTGGTCACCGTCTCGCACGACTCGGGCTTCCTCGACAACATCTGCACCGACATCATCCACTACGAGAAGAAGAAGCTGCGCTACTACAAGGGCAACCTCTCCGACTTTGTGGCCACCAAGCCCGAGGCCAAGGCGTACTACTCGCTCGCCGCCACCACCGTCAAGTTCTCCTTCCCGCCCCCCGGCTCGCTCATGGGCGTGCGCTCCAACACGCGCACCATCCTCAAGATGTCCAACTGTACCTACACCTACCCGGGCATGACCAAGCCTTCGCTGCACGACACGTCGTGCGCCATCAGCCTGTCGAGCCGCGTGGGTGTGCTCGGCCCCAACGGTGCCGGTAAGAGTACGCTGATCAAGGTGCTCACCGGCGAGACGGTGCCGCAGCAGGGCAAGGTGGAGAAGCACCCGAACCTGCGTATCGCCATGATGGCCCAGCACGCCTTCCACCATCTCGAGCAGCATCTGGAGAAGTCGGCGGTGGAGTACATCGCATGGCGCTACCAGGATGGCCACGACCGCGAGATGACCGAGAAGGCGTCGCGAAAGATGACCGACGAGGAGAAGGCGCAGATGGAGACGCCGATCAAGTCGACCACGGGCGAGTCGCGCAAGGTCGAGTACATCGTGGGTCGTCAGAAGCTCAAGAAGTCGTACCAGTACGAGATCAAGTGGGTCGGATACGAGCACAGGAACAACTCGTGGATCCCGCGCGAGCGCCTGCTCGAGTTGGGCTTCAGCAAGCTCGTGCAGCAGTTTGACGACTTTGAGGCGTCGCGCGAGGGTGCCGGTTCGCGCGAGATCAGCGTCAAGCTCATCCGCCAGCATCTGGAGGCGGTGGGTCTGCAGGGCGAGATTGCGCAGCACCATGCGGTTGGCGGCTACTCGGGCGGACAGAAGGTCAAGGTGGTGCTGGCCGCCGCCATGTGGAACAACCCGCAGGTGCTGGTGCTCGACGAGCCGACCAACTACCTTGACCGTGACGCGCTCGGTGGACTGGCGACCGCCATCCGCGACTGGGCGGGTGCCGTGGTGATCATCTCGCACAACATGGAGTTTGTCGGTGCCCTCTGCCCCGAGATCTGGAACGTGGACAACGGGCGCATCATGTCGCGCACCAAGACCGCACTTGCCGAAGGAGCCTTCCTGGACGAGATGGAGAACGCATCGACTCCTGGTGCCTCGGTTCCGGGTACGCCGCTGCCTGGAAGCACGGCGGCGTCGCGACTGACGTCCAAGGCCGGTACGCCCGTTTCGTCCGTGGCGCCCACGCCGGCAGGCTCGGGCGACGAGGGCGAGCAGGACATGTCGAAGTTCAAGGCCAAGAAGGGCAAGAAGAAGCTCACGCGCAACGAGAAGAAGGCGCAGGAGGAGAGGAGGCGTCTGCGTCTCAGCCGCTGGCTCACCTACGGCGGTGAGCGAGAACCAGACACCGACGACGAGTAGAACCGTGCCGCCCACTGCACTCATCGAATTGGTTTCGTTATTTTGGCGCATAGTCATATAGAATAGAACAGCTGTCCATTTGTCACTGCGCCAGCTACGATTTGAGATCGGGGGATATGCCGATGGGAGCCCGATGGACGCTAAGGAGCGTTGAGCGATGCGGGATGATGTAGATCTGCGGTTGGGGTGGGGGGGTTCTTGTTAGGAATTGACCGATGGGGGAATTTTACCGGTGTGTGGAAGAGGGAGAGAAGGGTCGGGATGTAGGGGAATTTCTCTTATCTCTCTGCGTAGCGAGATAGGGTTGGGGGTTTATCGAGCCAATCAGACGCGAGTAAATTGTCGGTGATGGATCGGCGAGATGCTGCATGCACCAAAAGCCACGCTCTTGGTTGGGCCGAGGTTCATCTGTTTTCAAGCGACGGACCGATGGTCGGAAGATTTTTTGAGCTGCAGCAAAGCCAGCACACGGAGATCATGCGATTGATGTCGGTGGCGCATCAAAGGGCCCTGCGTGGTCAGCGCGGTGGTGGTGGAGATGACTCGGATAACGCGGTGCAGCGTTGCGGTGTTTGTGTGTCGGGGAGGATCGGTGGTTGACGGGATGGTGCTGGAGCCCCTGGCGAGCCTTGACACCGCTTATTTGCGCTTCGGTGATGTTGCCAAGACCGAGCAGCCGCCGTTCGTGCTTTAAACAAGGTCAATGGGGTTCGTCATGTCTAAGTACAGCAGCGGACAGAAGCGGACAACAGTGGACAGCAGTGGATGGAGAAGGATGGACTCTGTTTCCACGCGAACGAGCATAGTCGGCGCATCCGCCGAACAGCCGTCGTTTTTCGTACCGACGTGAGCTCGTGGCGAGCGCTCCTTGCATGGCGCCAGTACTGGCCTTGCCGAGACCCAGCCAAAGCGCATGGGACCGGGTCAACTCCAACGCCGTTGAATGGCTTAGCACGGTGCCAATGCGTGACGGCGTGCCTGCGTGGTAGCGCGTCGGCTTCCATGCCAGTCCGTCGGGTTTTGCGGCATCTACCGAACAATTGCCCCGACCATCGTGAACATGAGTGGCTTGACCCTTTTCTACGCGCACTCGAGCATCCGTCAGTGATGGATGTCTGGGCTGGGAATTCTGGTGTTTGAACGCGGATCTTCCGAATGAAAGCAACATCCTTGCGCAGGCGTGCGTGTGTGCGACTGACAGTCGGAGGCCCACCGAACTGGTTGGCGGCTGTCGGTCTGTCATCGCTTCTTGGCTCCCAGGGAATGGAATTTAGGGTTGGGTTCGATTTCGCGCCCATTTCCATCCCAGCTGTTCGCTCGCTCTCGCCAATGCATGCACACGCGGTCCAGACGGCTGACACTCGAGTGGCCCGGCAGCTGCCGATGAGGGCTTGCTCGCCATGCCTTGGCCGCGCGCTTGGCCGCGCGCTTGGACCCCATGGCTCCGGCTGCCCTCGCTCTTCTCGCTCTCGTGCCCGCTGCGCCTTCTTCCCATTGTGGCGAAGGTACAGGTTTCAACTGCGATCCAGCCTCCCATGCAGCGGGCAGGCTGTGTCAGCCCGCAACCGAGAAGCTGGGATTGGCCGAGTCGACGTCACCGACCACGGCTTTCGCTACGGTAGACTTAGCCTCAAGCTTGGCTCGAGTGGCTCCTGCACTCTGGCTTGCTGTGATCCAACGAGAGCTTTCTGCAGCGTTCAAAAGCAAAGGGCGGCGGGACCAAGAGTGAGAAGGATGTATGCACACGCTGCCTCGCCTCGCAATGTGGAAGAACTGCAGCTGGCTTGTCACCCGGCAGGGGTCTTGATTTTTATTTTACGATTTTGCAGATTCGGAAGCTTGCCGACAGAGGTGTGCGACTTGTTTCGTGACTCCATGGCCGGAGCGGAGTCTTTGGGTCCAATTTGCACTCGAATTGGGGCCGAATTTACGGCGAGAGGGCGAGAGAGGGCGAGAGAGAGCGAGCGAGAGTGGGTCCGAATTAACCGCTTGGCGAGGCTGCTGGTGTTGCTGCTTCTGTGCTGCTTTCATTTCAGGCTTTGACGGCCAGCGCTTGGATTTCACAGGCTCTTCCCACCGCGCGCACCCACACGGCTTACCGGTCGCGGCGGCGTGGCCACGGACTGCAGGCAGATGATGGATGCACGGTCGGTCCGCTGCATTTCATCCTCGTTGCCTGCCTCAGACTCGGACCCTCGGAAAGTGCAACAAAGACGCTCGCTCTGCCGCGCTGGGCCGTGCCGCTCTGTACCGGAAATTTGGACTGCTCCCGTGCAGCAGCAGCAGCAGCAGCAGCCGCAGACAGTCACGGACGCCTCCCGCCTGTCGGCCCCGAAGTCGCTCCCCCACCCTCTCTCTCTCTCCCGCTCTGTCTCTCTCTCTCTCTCTCTCTCTCT